GGGAGAAAGGATCTATTGTAATGGTGAACTTTAAATCTTCAAATTTTATGGGTAGTTCTTTTAAGCGTTATTATTTCTCATTGATGCATTCTTAATAGTCCATTGGGACATTAATTCTTTATGGAATAGTTTTCATAATTTCTGTCATCTTTCTCTATGTATTTGTGTTTAGTTTTCATTTCAGATATTCTGATTTTAGTGCATTGTTACAGTTGGAAATTGGACTCTGTTGATTGTATTGGGAGTATTTCTTATCTCCAATGAACTTAAAATTTTCAATGCGTCTTTTTGACTGTATTTTGATTTGTAACTGGGAGACAGATTCTTGGCAATTGGTAATGTAAAAAGAGTTTCAAAATCACTACATAAAAATTGGAGTAGTATCAGTCAAGATGGAAGGGAATATGGAATGCTCATTAGGGATGGACGGTATTCTCCTCTTTACAGATTTTACCAGCAATGTACACATTCTGCTAGAGGATATAATTCATTCACGGCATACAGCATAAAAAATGGTCTATCCGGCAATTTTCCCAAAAAATACCCAGCCAATTCAGCAAATAATACTATTGCACATCATGCCCAACGTGCTTGGAAGAGCTTCTTCCAGATATCATTATCTAAGGGGTGGACTTCTCTCCCTATAAGTAAAAGTGCTCAAGCTTTTAGCTTGGCCTTGACCCACTCATATGTGATTGTTCCTGGAATTTTTGCCATAGTATGTGGAAGAAATATTGCATTGGCACGGGCACCATATGACATGGATTTCATCCATCCAAAGAATACATTCTACATGCATGCTCAAGATGGTCATGCTATCTTTACACAGTTGGTCCTTTCAATATTTGAATGTGTTGTTTTATTGTTAAGAGCAATTCATTTGACAATACTCTTCACACCTTGCATAGCATTGGCTCCATTTGCTGATACTTTTGGGCCTCACTTCCGGAAAATGTGGCTAGAAGTTATTCATCAGACACTTGAAAGAGCTGGACCAGCATTTATAAAGTGGGGCCAGTGGGCAGCTACACGACCGGATCTGTTCCCTAGTGATTTGTGTACTGAGCTGTCAAAGCTTCACACCAAGGCACCTGAGCATAGCTTTGCCTATTCAAAAAAAGTGATTGAGAAAGCTTTTGGTCGTAAAATTTCTGAAATTTTTGATGATTTTGAGGAAACACCTGTAGCATCAGGAAGTATAGCTCAGGTTCATCGAGCTACATTGAAGTATCAATATCATGGTAGGGAGATTAAGCCCATTGATGTGGCTGTCAAGGTTAGGCATCCTGGAGTTGGTGAATCTATTAAAAGAGACTTTGAAATAATTAATTTGATTGCTAAAATATCCAAGTTCATGCCTGCTCTAAAATGGTTGAGACTGGATGAAAGTGTCCAGCAATTTGCAGTTTTTATGATGTCCCAAGTAGATCTTGCAAGAGAGGCTTCTCATTTGAGTCGTTTCATTTATAATTTCCGGAGATGGAAGGATGTCTCTTTTCCTAAGCCTGTATATCCTCTAGTGCATCCTGCAGTACTGGTAGAAACTTTTGAGCAAGGGGAGTGTGTGTCACACTATGTTGATGATCTGGAGGGGAATGAGCGACTTAAGAGTGCTCTTGCTCACATTGGGACCAATGCGCTTCTCAAAATGCTTCTGGTAAGATATTCTTCATTTTACTTTGTTAATATGCAATTACTTCAACACCTTTAGTAGTTCATTTAGTTTCTACTCTCCATTGTCAATGACAATTATACTCAATCTGATGCTTATTTTGCCAGTTGTGTCACCCTGCCCCACTTTATTTTTTTTTTAATTTCATTTTTAAGTTATCCCACATGACAGACCTCAATAGCCTTTTCACTGGTATTTTGTTTAGGAATTAAAGGTGTTAATATAATGTTCATAGGATTTATAGTTTCCATTTGGAAATTGACTCGTGCCTAAACCTACATAGGATATAGTAGAAAAAAGATAGAGACTTTCTCTGATTAGATGAATTCCAAGTATGTTTTGATCATGAGTAGGAAAGTTTCGAGGGCAATATTTTGATCCCATAGCTTCGTGTTATTGAATGCCATGGCTCTTGACTAGGAAAGTGTGTGTTGATCATGTGTAGGTGTAGTAAAGTTTGAATGGTAATATTTCATTATTTTGACCCCACAGCTTTTTGGCATCAAATGCCATGGCTCATGCTGTTAGTTATTCTTACACGGTTTTTGTTTTGCTAGAAAGTATGAGTTTGTCTATTGTTATTTGAGATATAACGAGAGTAATTTGATGAATTACAAGAAATTCTACTTCAAAGTTATACTATGAGTTAGTCTGTTAAATAACATATTAGTTAAAAGGAAAGTGTCATTACTAAACCTATTTTCTGCCATAGAACTGGCTTCTGAAATATGTTCTCCTTCCTCCAGGTAGACAACTTTATGCATGCTGATATGCATCCTGGGAATATTCTAGTACGGGTACCTCAGAGCAAGTCATCCCGGAGACGTATCTCCAAAATTAAGCCTCATGTCATTTTCCTTGATGTAGGCATGACTGCTGAACTTTCTAAAAATGATAGAGGAAATTTAATAGAATTTTTCAAGGCTGTTGCCACCCGAGATGGCCGCACAGCAGCTGAGTGCACATTGAGATTATCAAAGAAGCAGGACTGCCCTGACCCAGATGCCTTCATTAAGGTATACTTTTTATAAGTTTTATGGCCTTAAACAGTTCATCAAGGCATACCAAGACACTTCATACTAGAGTTTTACCGCTTGGTGCTAATAGTATTCTTTAAAAGGTAGATTTTTATGGTGTTTGATGTGATGAATCTTACGAGTCTTATGTTTGAACTCTGTTGGTAACAGGAAGTGAAAGAGTCATTTGATTTTTGGGGTACTCCAGAAGGTGATCTAGTCCATCCTGCAGACTGCATGCATCAGCTACTTGAGCAAGTTAGGCGTCATCAAGTAAACATCGACGGAAATGTCTGTGCTGTGATGGTGACAACTTTAGTCCTGGAGGTAATTTCTTTTTCATCACCACGCTCTTTAAGTATAGAAGAATGAAATTGACCAGTGTTTCTATTTTCATTTTAGCTTGTTTTTTGAAGTCATAAAAACTTGTCAAATTCTGACAGGGTTGGCAGCGGAAACTTGATCCTGACTACGACATAATGCACACGCTACGTACACTGCTGCTTAAAGCTGACTGGGCAAAGTCACTAGCATACACAATTGAGGGAATTATGGCCCCATGAGAAGAACTCCCAGTCTAGATTAGTACAAACAAATTTCTTAGGAAAAGTTTGCCTTATATAACATTTTAGTCCATAAAACTGTCACCCAGGCTCTCAACTGTGGCAAGAATTTTGTTAGGAAAAGTCTTACCTTGTATTTAGCTTTTTGGTCAAAGCTGTCACCTCGGCTTATAATTGTGTCAAGAACAACAGAGATTCTTGAGAAAGGTATTCACAAATGTAATTGTTTAATTCTTCAATATTGTGGACTCAAAGAAGTATACATAAATGAAACTTGCCTATGTACATTTTCTTGTTGGCAATTCCATTTCTTTGTCTATTGTCTATGATACAACTAGATTATCGGCTGTTCATTACAATATGTACATTTTTCGTCTTCTGATCGTTTGTTTGTTCTATCTTGATCGAAGAAAACTCTTACCTTGTGCATCTTCATCTACAATGTGGGTAACTTGCATAGGAGGAGCGTCACGCCAGATGTGAGGGTGATTCAAATGGTGCCCCAACTGTGCGAATTTATCAGCCGCTCTATTCCCTTCCCTGAAAACATGAGTGACAATGAACCTGTCGAGTTCTGGGATGATCAAATATATCTGATGAAGATGCTTCTGTGCTTCTGCACATCTAACAGCCCTTTTCCGCACAATCATGTCAACCAGCGACTTGGAATCCCCTTCTACCCATATATCTGTCCACCCATTTTCCAGAACTAGCTCCATACCTCTTCTGAGCGCAGCCAGCTCTGCATTTGTGCTGTTGGATTTCCCAATGGACTCAGCGTATCCCAGCAGAAATTCGGCCTCGTGGTTCCTGAAAATCCCCCCAATGCTTGATCTCCCTGTTTTGCTCTTGCATGACCCGTCGAAGTTCAATTTAGTCCACCCAATCTCTGGTTTCTCCCATGTCACTCGACGCGAGGTGCCACCTCTATGCCTATTCCTAATCAACATTCTTGTTGGTCTGTCAACTAATCTCTCACATCCTAGTAATGTTCTGCTATATGTCATCAACATATCTTTCTTCTCTTCCTTAATACTATGTTTCTCGATTCAGAACGAATGAATCAACTCAAAATTAAAGCCTTTAAGATCATTCTGATCAAAATGTGTTCATGCATCTTTTATGTAGCAGGTTGGAGTGGAGTAAAAGGAAGTTCATGCAGTATTCTGCACCAGCAAGGAATTGATTCTTATGCAACAAATAAGGATTAGTAATCCATTGTGATAGCACGTTATTGACCATTGACCTCGAAAACATGAAAAACTATGAATTTTGAATCTCTTTAACTGCTTATTTTACTAGTATTCCGTATAGAATACTCTCAAGTTGAATGCATTTAGAATACCATGATTTTTATTAAAATATACGTATTAAGAGAAGTATGAAGTATATTCTTTCCTTGAAGTTTGGAAAAGCTTCTTTTGTCATTAGCTTCACGGAAGAAATGATGAGTGCCATGAAGGAACCAGACCAGGTATCAATATTCATAGTCTAACATGGAATCAACATTCATTTCCATTGTACCAAAGAGACAACATAGTATCAAATACACATAATCCATTTTCGTTTCGCATATCTACCTCTGTTGTGATTGATAAATTCGATGAATCATGCTTGACATTTGACAAAAATAAGCCTACTTTTGGAGGGTTCGAACCCCAATCGGGTAGTCAAGTGATCAACTAATCAACGTTTAATGGCTGGTGGTAAAAATCTCTTGTGCAAAGAAGTGTACGAACCGTTGGGGCAGAATAGAAAGAAAATGCATTCATTACTGAGAATCTGAGGTATAAAAATCAACCCTCAAAAAACACAGTTGATTACACAAAATTTAGCTAATTTCCCTTGGCATAACTTTCCTAAGCCTCCTAGATATAAGGTTAGCAGTTCAAGTCACTCATCCCTCTTAAGGGTATCCCAAAAGAAAGAAAAAAAAAAAACTTTTGATACTGAAAATCCCGTGTGAATTGAGGACTCCTTATTCGTGTTTCACAGTTTTGTTTGATACTCCATGTTGCGAGTGGCGGAAGACTGGAGTGTAATAGTGTTCCGTTATAATACTGGTAAGGACAAAGGTATTTGCAGCCAAGAACAGCAAACTTGCTATCCAAAGTTGGATGAAGACATTCTTCCCTTTGAATTCGAGCAAATAACCCCACAGCAACCAATGTGTCTGAGCTCCAATCCACAAAAGAATGCAAGCCAAGCCCTTACCTTTCAGCTTCATATTAGTCCAAGGTAGTATCAAGGGCAATAGGCAGAAAAACCAGACAAAATACTGAGCTGTTATGACCTGTAAATGAGGAATAGTTCTTATAAGGAAAGCAAGAGGGAAATATATTGCATATATTAAGAGGATAATTAAAACTAAAAAAGATTGAGCAGCGTTCACAAACCTTGTTAAATGCAACAAATGCAACTGTCTGCACGAAAAAGCAAAATGGGAAGTCCTGAGCAAAACAGAAGATGAGAGCAAGCTGCACCATAATCTGAGGAAGAAAAGAAACGAGTTTCTCCAAGATTGAGAAATCGCGTTCATAATTCAGATATATGTGGTAGAAGTATATGGAAAAATTGTGCCTCGGGTCTGTACGAGTGAGATGATATAGCAGCGCTTCATTCAAGAATTCCCATCCATACAGATAGAAGAAAAATCCAGTTGAGATAAAGAACACAGAACCAGAAATAAATCCAAACATAAGTCTCCTCCAAGTAAACATGCTCGTGAAGAAAGACCAAAGAGAATGCAGATCGGGAAGTTTTCTACGACCTGAACTCTTTGCTACCTGGGGCTTTCTAGCACTCCAATCTGTGAGTGTGGGCTTCTTACTAGGCTGGAAGTTTAGAGGATCAAGAACCAAAATTATTGGGAGTGCATAAACTATAGGATAGATTCTCAAGTGGACAACAAATCCATACCAAAGTGCAGCTTGTATAAGACAATCTGTGGTCAAGAAAACATCAGACACATTAAAGATGAGTTTTTTAATTGAAATGTAGATAACTGTTATGTACAGGAACTATGAATTAATCAAAGAAAGCCACATGAAATGGTACAAAATTTCATGTAACATTGTCTTACAGCTAAAATTGACAAAATGAAGAAACGAAATAAATAAATATGGATTTAGTGACTGCCCCATAAGGTGACTATGAAATTGCAATGCAAGGTGGTAGATTGTGGGTAAGGGCACAGGATCGAGTCTGACAGCCATAGTCTAGGAGTTACCCGTGTGGTGGGCTCCGTATGGGTGCCAAACACTGGTCCTCTCACCTAATGGACTGCTATGTCACTGTGATTTACCTTTCCACTATTCTGTCGAGTCGGGATGTGGGGCCCCGGGCCTGAGGGAATTTTGCCTTTGTGGGCAAGGGCAAGAAATTGCAATGCAGGTATAAATCCTCCAGAACTAATTTCTGAAGTTAAGCTAAAAGATATTAAAGACTTACCATTCATGAGACAGACAATGATCCAAAGAACCATAGCACAAACAATGGGCTCACAGTTTCCACGAGTTCCAATGGTAAAGGTAAATGGATTGAAAAGCCATACAATTACTGAATAGGTACTCAATTTCTCCGGCACCCCTCTTAGCTTCAAGATTTTGTGTATCAGAAACCCCACCAGCAGATCTGCCGCAATACACAATTAACATTTCAATATAGCAAAGGCCCTTACAGAACACTTTTGCAGCAAAAAGAAAGAAAAAAAAAATACTTTTTTTTTTTTTTTTGGAACTACAAGAAATTCAGAAAATAATAGTAAAACTAAAATTGAATGCATAAGAAATACAATACCTGAAGCGGAAAAGAGGAATTTCCCCCAAGAAGGGTGAAGGAATGAATTGGGGATGAGGAGGAAAGCAATTAAGGGTGAGTAGCGATAGGTGGATCTTTTGTAGGGGGAATCCCCTTTGGCCATCAAGGCAGCGGCGTCGGAGAATACGAGGTAGTCAACGTCGGTGTATCGAACTTCCATGTGGGCATCTTGCCATTCGCCGTAGAGGATCAAGAAGAAGCGAAGAAATGCAGAGAATAGCAGCAAAGAGCGGAGGTTCACCGCCGCCATGGATTTCATCAACGACTAGATTAAGCAACTGCGCAACTCAAAATGAACTACTGTAAGAATTAAATTTCATTTGAGCATAGTTTGAATCCTTCGAGTTCTCCGGCCATGGCGGCACTTTTGAATCGGAGCAAACCGGGGACGATTTGGGGGGACTTGACATGAAATCAATAAGGTCGCGTTTGGTTGGGAATTTTGTTCTATATTCAACTACGGAGTATTTTAATACTTGTCATATTTATTAAAGAAATATAGTAATATTTTTTTTTTTGAGTATTGTTGACTATATTACAATAGTGCATATGTTCATAACTACTTTCTCAATCTATTGAAACACAAAGATATAATAAAAATATATATTAAAAATATAAATAGTTGCATACCTTTGGTATGTTTAGGAATCTCTTATGAATCATGAGTATATGTAAAATTTAGATTACAAAATGAAAATAAAATAAAAAGCGCTTTTGTATATATATAAACAAAATCGTTCTTTGTAAAATTTAGATTACAAACACACTGAATAACTATTTTTTTTTTTTTTTTTTTTTTGGGTAATGAAGAGGGATCAATGGTCCCAGAAAAGACTAGTGAACACGTCTTGTAGCCACGCCACAAGAATCAACCTCAAGAATGCTCCTCACACCTTCCGGGGGGAGAGGAAGAATTGTAGTCCTCCAATCGCCAAGTTAACCTATAATATAATATATATAATTGATTTTCCCTCAAAAGTGACTGTTACTGATTAGCCACAGCCAGTCTAGAGCCACACCAGTAAATATGCCAGAAAGAAGACATAGCACCAAGATGTTTCCCAATGCATTTGCCTCCGGACCCTATGAACAAGAAGAGGATTAGTACAGTTTTGATGACGAACGGATGAGAGAATTGGGTGATTGACATTAACACATTCAATTAAGATTAAGAACAACCCACCTTGTAACCTTGAGGAGCAGCAGTGAGGACACAGACAGTGAGGTAACCATTTGTTAGTCCGAGAAAAGATACAAGCATGATCATCCATCCTTGATCCCCATATTTAGCAGTGAAATAGAAACACGGGATCAACAAGAAACGAGATTGTATTGCTATCATCAGCCCCTTCCTGGATTTCAGCTCGACTTTCTTGATGAGGGGAATGTACCTTGATATGAGATCCCAAATATTGTACATTGCCACCAGAACAGTAGGATACCTGGAATTTATTGTACATGCTGTCAGAAGACTTGAATATAGCATTAGCAGCCAATTTTATATGTGAAGTTGAGACTTATATGGGTTCAAAAGAGCATGAATAAATACAATGATCAACTACCACTAGTTTGAAGATAAGTCATAGTTACCATGAGCCTAGGTTGTGGGTTCCAGTATTCTCGTATAAAAATCCAGGAAAAATCGACAAAGTTACAACATATATGAGGTAGAGGTCCAATGCATAATCAATGTTTTCCATGAACAACTTCTTGTTGCTCACCCTCTCCACATGCTTAGCATCATCAACCTGTGCAAACAGTGGAAGTTATATATGAAAATCTGAAACAAATAGCAAGAACTTAAACTTGTTTGATCAAGATGGAAGTTTTGAGTACACTTTCACTTGGTGCTGTGATGCCAGCTGCAGCTAAATCTGCTGCAACAGTTTTTGATCCCTCTGAAGCTGCCTTTGCACGATAGTATTTCACGATTGCTAACTTGGGGAAGACGAATGCATATAGAATAATACATAGGAATTCAAAGAACGTCGAGACTGCCAGGAACAAGACTGCAGAAGCCATAATTGAAATACTTTTCAAAGACTAGTATGTATGGGTTTCTAAAATATTTTAAAATGTCAATCTTTATTGCGTAATAGTAGGGGCTGAACAGAATCACATACTAACTCCTTTCCGGAGACCATTACTGGAGTGTTCAAAAGCTGCTTTTGTCACTAGCCTCAAGCCAGAAGTCAGTGTCCCTGAAGCAGCTAAACCAGCTAAGAATGACTGCAAGTTGACAAAAACCTCAACTATAAAACCCAAGAGTTTTAGGATTGAGAAACTAGAAATTCGAGGAAGAATATGGAAACATACTTGGAGGAATTCAGGACACATGAAAGACAGATCCCCAACAATTCCACCTTGAACATGGGCATCTGCAACTCCAAAAGATGCAACAATAACACAAATTCCTATGTAGTTTCCGAGCCCACCTTTCCCTGATGTGCCTAAATCCAACTACCAATAAATGGGAATTGAATCAGTTTGGATAAATCAAAGATATAACAACACTGGTGACAGTAAAAAGTCCAAGCTGATCGAAGATACCAGTAGGAGAGCAAATGTGCCCAAGAAGAATAGTATATATCCTGCTAAGTTTCTCTTCCTTGTATTCAGCTTTTCACCTTTATATGCAAGAATTGCAATTGTTCCAATTGCAAATGGTTGATACACCAGGGTAAGCACCCTTGAAGGATGATATTTCTTAATAGCAAAACAACAACAAACATAATACTCACTAAAACACTTCTTTTTACTAAACATAAGTATGGAGATTCATTCAGAGGGACAAAGGGATTCTCACAGGAAACAGTTGATAATAGTAATCCCCTATTGTCAGCATACTATTCCAAGATACCAGAGATCCAAGTCCAAGAATCCAACACACTACTATGGCACTCGGTTTCCCCTGCAATAAAAAAATAAAAATAAAAAATCACATTTTCAAGTTTCAACACAACAGCAAAAAGAACAAAAAGACCAGAAAACATCACGACATAACCTCAAGCCTCGTTGGGTTTCTGCTAGATTCATCAATGGCAGTAGTCATGTCTGTGTATTTGCTCTGCTACAACAACAAAACAAGGGAAATGTCTTTCTCAGTACTATACTCAGATGAACAGAAAAAGAGAGAGCAAATGCGCGCACTTCTGCTGTGAATGTAAACGCTATAATTATTGCAGGGGGGGAAATACAAGATGTGAAAACGAGATGAGCCTACCTTGGTATCCCCGCGTTGACTGCAAAGTGTAAATCGGTGTGAATTAAAGATTCTGCAGCGAGTTAATGCTTTCCGATCATCTTTCCCTCTATCATATGAATCTCTTATGAATCATTATAAAGATTCCAATGGTTGTTCCTTAAACTTGACAACTGTGAACCTTATTTGACAAATAGTCCGTATTTAGAAAAATCACATTTTAATTAAAAAAGACTTGTCAACGATGACTTTGGACTCTGCTTTTACTCCACGGAGTTTAAATTTGGCTGCAGATTTCTATTGTGCCAAGTTTTATATACACACAACATTTTATACAATGGGTTACTTATTTTTATAATGAAAAATTATAAAAATATTTGTATGAATTTGATGGGTGATTAAATAAATAAGATATGGGAGGACCCATAATTATGTTAATGTTTGGCCAGCCTAATAATCCCTACTCGTGAAGACGACAGGCCACAACCATTTCCGTATTGAAAGAGAGAGATAATAAAACAAATAATTAATGGGAAAAGGGGACAAAAGTGGTGCAAAAGCATTGTTTGTATTTCATGTCAAAATCATATTAAAAAGTGTTATTTTCTTATCATTCTTCCAAAATATTATGGAGTAAAATTGAGAAAGTATAATATGAAAAAACAATGAAGTATAATTTAAAAGTACAAGTAGAAGAAATTATATATATATATATATATATATATATATATTACCTAGGCTAGTTTAGATTTTCCTCGTCATTCATTCTTCGAATCCTCTACAACTTCGATATTCTCAGTAATAAATTAAAGCTGTCCGTTCAAAGGTGTGATACAACGATAACATATTTATGGATTCAGTGTATCTTATTTTTGGTTATATTATATATGGTATGGTATATTTAATTTTATTAAATATAAATATAAATCTAATCTAAAAATATAATAAGTTTCAATCCAGGCTATACTTCGGATTTATGTCTGTTTTTTCTGTTAATATTTTTTATACCTTATCTATAAAAATTGTACTGCATCATTTTTTGGATAAAAATATCACTGTCGTTATAATTTCTACTAGTATTTGCCCCCGTGCGATGCACGGAATGAATTTGTTAAAATATTTTAAGAATATTTGAATCGATCTATAATTATATAAATTATTATATCGAATATTATATAATGTAATTGATAAATTGAGTTGGATCGATTGTATTTTCTAATGTTATAATTGCTTGAATTCGATCAAATAATTGGCCAAAATTAATAGTCAATGTGTAGATGTACGCATTAAGTGCTGAAACTTTAGATATTTTAAATATCAGTGTTCAGTGAATTATATATGGGGATCATATTTAATTTTGAGTGAATTATTAATATTCATTACCTTTTTCAATTCGTCTAATTTGTTTTCCATACACATTCTATACATAATTTTACATCTTTATATATGCGTATTGTAATGAGGTCCTGTAATTTTGAATAAAGATTTGCTACAAAATCAGTCATAATTAATTTCTTTTAAATCATTCATACGTATTGCAAGAACATTTCTATCTTTAACTACACAACTTTTCTTATAAATTGTGAATACTAAACGATTCTATTCAATTTTCCATTTGTAAATCTTTACACAACTATATTTCCAGTAACATATATACAAATATTTTTTAATATTTCTACTAACTTTACATTTTATAAAATATATAATCGAGATTAATATTTTTTTCATCTCGGCTAAACTTTTTGTTTTTTGACATACTCGGCTAAACCTTATAATTGCGCAATCCTTATATTCTTAGTATAAAATAACATTTTGTGTAAAAAATTTTAATTTTCATATCGATTAATATTCTTTCCATCTCGGCTAAACCTTATATTTCCATATCGTATTGCAAAACATTTTCCATCTTTAATTACAAAATTTCCTTACAAATTGTGAATACTGAATGATTCTATTTCATTTTCAATTTTTAAATATATATCTTTACATAACTTTATTTCAGTAACATATATATACAGATTTTTTTTTATATATTTCCAGTAACTTTATATTTTATAAAATATATAACCGAGATTAATATTCTTTCTATATACTAAGTCAGTTTGGAAGTATTTTTCATTTCCAGTCAATTATTAATAGTCATTTCCTATTTCAATTCTCATAAATTTTATGTCATTTTTATTCTCAATCAATTATTTTTTTAATACATATTAATTAATTAGTTAATTATTAATAACATTGTTTTTATATTTCCACTAACTTTACATTTTATAAAATATATAACCGATATAAATATTTCTTTCCATCTCGATTATACGTTGAGATGCAAACTTCATTTTACATTTTTATTAATGCATTTTATATCAGTAATTTTTATATTTTTAGTAATTTATTAATATTCATTTCCTTTTCCAATTGGCCTAGTTTCCATAAAAAAAAAATTATATTTTCAGTAATTTGTTAATATTCATTTCATTTTTATTTTTTAATCAATTATTAATATTCATTTCATTTTGTGCATTTGAGTCAATTTCAAAAAAAAAATTACTTTTCAGTTAATTATTAATAGTCATTTTGTATTTCAATTGGCCTAAATTTTGTGCCGTTTTTATTGTCAGCTAATAATTATTTTTGTAATATTATTTTAAATACTATAATTTCACCTATGGACATGCAGGGGTGGGTAAACAAATAAAAAAAATGAATATTCAAAGGAATGTAAACCCATTAAATCTTTCAATTTAAACAAAATACATAAATTTAAAATTATAAATATAAAATCAATATGGTTATTCGTGTAGTTTACTGAATACGTTTATTACCAATTAATTATATTACCAATTATATTATAAAATACCATACATATTATTACTAATTATTCTATTTTGTTATTACTTAATTAATATTTTTTTGTACATAGTATTACCAATAGAATATTTAATTAATTAACTACAAAAGTTTGAGTGGAAAAAATAAAATAGGAAGATTTTGTTTATAATTAAGGTATAATATTATTAAATCAAAATTATTTAAAATATATAGATCCACATTAAGAAAAAGGAGATATAATTTAAAAAATAAATTATTAATTAGATTACTTAATATAATTGTCCTACTAATTGATTCTATGCTACTATGTATAATTCATATATTTGAAGACTTTTTAAATCTAAATACCTATTAATTGTCTTAATAATAATTAAGATTATTTTTAGTCAATCAATATTCAATAGTACTAAAAATATTACTTTGAATTTTTATAAATAAGATATAATATTATTAAACCAAAATAATTAAAAATAATGTGTCCATAGTACAAAAGATTTTATAATGATAATTTTTATTGTCTAATCGAATTTGTCAATTATTAAACATTATTTATGGTAATTATGCTAAATTTACAACATCAAATAATATCTCAAAATCAACTTAGTACATAAAACAGGAATTACTATACAACATTTTCCTCAAAATAACAAATAATTAAACTTTATTCCTTCTCAACTTGAATTCATCCCGAATTCCTATCTATGTTCACCTGTATAAATAATTTTACACAAAAACAGAATGTAACACAAAAATTAGCATAAGCTAAGTAAGTTCCACTCCACCCCGTAAAATAATGGCTTGGATTTTTTATATTTTTAAAACTCATATAAATTCATACTTTTCCAAAATGCATGTGGAGTTATACATTTTCTTGTATGGAGAATTAATAGTTATTTATGGAGAAGTAACCAAACCTTTTGAAATCCACTTTGAAACTGGACTAAAATCTATGTACACACCCCCTAGAGGATTCCAAGCCAATGGGTAATATATGATCCATAGTCAGGTTATCCTACCTACTACCCTCAAACAATTTGAAAACTGAATCATAACTTATGTGATACTTTCAAAGCCTAATGAGTAGTAAATAGTCCAAGTAAACAGTACTCACTCTTACTGAACACCACACAATATATTATTTTCTCAAAATTTCATTATTTCTCCACAAATAAATATTTTCTCCACAAAAATACAATTTTCTCCAGAACATTTAATTTTCTTCAAATACAATTTTCAAAAAAAAATTTACAATTTTAATTTCTCCAAAATACAATTTTCTCGACATGATTTGTCCAAAATATAATTATAGTCCATAATCCAGTATTAATACAATTTCACAATACTACTATGTATACAACACCAAAAATTTCAAGCCAAGTATTTACATAACGCATGAGTTCGACAAATCGAAACTCATTCTCAATATTTCAAGAACCACCACTCACAATATTACCATTTATCGATAAATGTACCTGTGTTCACATAAATAACATATAACATATAATATCACATATAATATCAATACATACAATACTCGGAGAAAATAATAATTTTGGTGAACATAAAATCTTACCCTCGAAGGCAAACTTTCTATCAACCTTAATAGCATCCTAACCACCTTGATAAAAAATCTGTGAATCAAATAAATCCAATAATAATAATAACCGAAGCATATTATTCACCATCAATCTCAACAAACTTAGATTTAAACAAAAGAATTTGGAGAGTAGAAACCATTACCTGAAGTAGAGATTAAGTGAATGAGTTTTGCTAGAATTGAAGAAGACGTAGGAATATATTGAAAATCATGAAGAACCGGTAGTGTGAGGGAAGATGAATGAATGCCAAAGTCTATAAATTTTTATTTATAGGTGGAAAATAGTAATTCAAAAGGAAAGTATAATAATTTATTTGGCTAGGAGGATTTTATTTTTATATATATATAGATATAGATTTTTTTTTTGAACAATCTTTCATTTTCCTTTTTCATTTTCATTGAATTAAGTATCCTTTTTTATTTTCCAATTTTATTAAATAAACTTCAGAAATATGCATATAAATTTACCTCAAAATATGCATATAAATTTACCTCTTACCATATACATTTACCTCTCACCATTGAATACCCTG